AGCTGGAGCAGGCTGCTTCGGATTTGTGATCAACATGGTTCACATACATTAAAGCACATTAGGGCTGAATTTAAGGTGCCTGATGAGGCTGTCTCCCTCTCTGCAGCTGACTCCATAAGGGGGAGCTCAGAATGAGCAGAACCCCCCCACCACACATAGGGGTTTCTTGGCAGCATTCCCCTCCCCCTTGCAACATGTTGCAACCTCTCTCTCTCTCTGTGTGTGTGTGTGTGAGACTCTCTCTCTCTCTCTCTCTCTCTCTCTCTCTCTCTCTCTCTCTCTCAGAGTGTCATTCCATCTCCCTGCTCTGCTCCTCTTTGTTCATAAAATCATAGAGTCCTAGGGCTGGAAGGGACCTTGGAGGTCTTCTAACACAAAGATAATCAAGCAATGAATCACCAAACACCTAAAAGCAAACAAAGTAATAACCAAAAGCCAACATGTCAAAAACAGATCATGTCATACTAATCTTAGTGCATTCTTTAACAAAGTGACAAAATTAGTGGACCAGAGGAATACTGTCGATATAATTTACTTGGACTTCAGTAAGGCATTTGATAAAGTAGACCATAATCTACTGCTAGATAAAATAGAAAAAAGTGGGTTAGACAGCATCACCACCAGATGGATTCGTAACTGGCTGACCAACCGCATTCAACGTGGAGTCCTCAATGGAACTGCATCTACATGGAGGGAAGTATGCAGTGGGGAACCCCAAGGCTCTGTTTTAGGCCCAGTGCTCTTCAACATCTTCATCAATGACTTGGACGAGGGGATAGATGGGGAACTCATCGAATTTGCAGAGGACACCAAGCTGGCAGGAAGAGCTAACACTCCAGAAGATAGGCTCAAGACACAGAAGGACCTTGACAGACTTGAACATTGGGCGCTAACAAAATGAAATTCAACGGTGAAAAAAGGAAGGTTCTACATTTAGGGAAGAAAAACAAAATGCACAGGTACCGTATATGTGGTACCTTGCTCAATAGTAGTAGCTGTGAGAGGGTTTAGATATGAGCCAGCCGTGTGCAGCAGCTGCCAAAAAAGCCAACACAGTTCTAGACTACATAAACAGAGGGACAGAATCAAGATCACATGAAGTGTTAATATCACTTTATAATGCCTTGATAAGGCCACACTTGGAATACTGAATGGCATAAAAAAAGATGTGGAGACTCTAGAAAGAGTGCAGAGAAGAGCAACCAAGAGGATTAGGGGACTGGAGGCTAAAACATATGAAGAACGGTTGCAGAAACTGGATATGTCTAGTTTGATGAAGAGAAGGACTAGGGCAGACATGATAGCAGTCTTCCAATATCTCAGGGATTGCCACAAAGAAGAGGGAGTCAAGCTCTTCTCCAAAGCACCAGAAGGCAGGATGAGAAGCAATGGATGGAAACTAATCAAGGATAGAAGCAACTTAGAACTAAGGAATGGAAACAATTAACCAGTGGAACAACTTGCCGACAGAACTGTTTGTCTGAAGTGGTGTAGGGTTTCCTGCCTAAGCAGAGGGTTGGACTAGAAGACCTCCTAGGTCCCTCCCAACTCTGTTATTCTATTCTAACCCCCTCCCCCCACCCAAGGCAAGAGTCCTTAGACCACCCCAGAAGATTCTCCTAGATCCCCTCTTCATGCCATGCCTCCCCCACCCCTCCTGGGCTCTGGGACTTTCCTGTCTTGCTCAGATGTCCTGCCTAGAGATCCTGGTGAGGTCTCCAAGCTTCGCTTGGCAGCTGAGGCTCCCCACGTCCTCTGGCCGGAGACCAGGATTAAACAGATTTGAGCACTGATGATTTTCCTTAATGGGTCATGAAACATTTCTAAGAAAACTGCCAAGCTCAGAGACCACCAAAGACCCCACCGTCCTCCTCCGCCTCCTCCCTGCAACCCCCCCTTCCAGCACTGATCATGTTCCCTAATTGGGTCACGGAATGTCTGCAAGAGCAGCGAGGACCCTCAGTTCAAGCCTGAGCTACAAACATTTCCCTTTATTGGTACTGGAGCAACCGGATTTCGTGAATCTGAAACCTGAACCTGAGAAACCTGCCCAACACAGATGCATCCATGTTCTCTCCCTGTCTCTCTCACACGCATGAATCTAAACCATAAAGCAACCGTCCAATTAATCCGTTTCCCCAAAGCCCCTGACGGATTCCCTGCTGGCCGGCTTGAGCAAATGCAACCCTTTCCTTCGCAAACCCTCCTCCTTCTGAGCTAATCCCCCACGAGAAACACCTTGTTCATGCCATGCAGGTGAGGGGGGAGGTTCTTAGCCACCCGATAATTTCTGATTTGTTCGCTAAATTCAGACCTCATAATGGGAGGGTCTTCCGTCTTCCTAAAACGTCTCCTTTCTATTGTTCTGTTGCGGGATGGAGGGGAGGGAGGGAGGGAGGAGGAGGGGCTGCCTATGAATGCCTGAGCAGGAGAGAAGGCTGGTGCCTTTCTAAAGAGCCTTTTGTAATGAAGACTGAAAACATTTATGGAAGCCGGTTAGTTTAATGTGTTCTTTGCAATCATCTATGTCCAATTCTTTCCTTCCCTCCTTTTCAGCATTAGCAATAGCACTTAAGACGTGTACCCTATACCACTCCACAATGTTTTTGTAACTCTCTCTGAGCAGTTCGCAGGACCAGCCTCTTTGCCCCCAACAATCTGGATCCTCATTTTACCAACCACGGAAGGACGGAAGGATGAGTCAACCTTGAGCCAGTCAGGATCGAACTCCTGGCTGTGGGCAGAGTCAGCCTGCAATACTGCACTTTAATCACTGTGTCACCAGGGCTCCATCTATTTTTCCTAATAATTTCCTTATATAAAAAGATTTGGCTTCTTGGGACTTTTAATTCTCATCTCAAGTTGCTCTGCAAGCAATTGGGTGGGGGGCTCCAGAGCTCCCTCTTGTGCTTCGTGGCTGGCACGAAGTTTATTGACTCATATATTTCTGAATTGTGGAGAGGGGATGCAAAGCCCCCCCCCCTCTGTTATTTTCTTGAGCTGGGCTGGAAATCCTGCACTAAAACCCCCCACTGGACAGACGGGGGAAGGAGGCACAGGGTGGGGAAACTGCCAGCCAGGCTGGAAGGAGGAGTCAAGCGAGGGCGTAGCTTGGAGTCCTTGCGCAGCTGCAAGCGTCATAAGCTTTATCTCCCCCAAGGTACATGAAACCGTATCTGATCGTTCCCAGGGGAAGGCAAACAGCCTGGGGAGATTCTTCTAACATAGGTGGCATCAGAACCAGGAACCCTCACTGAGTTCAAAGCACTGGAGAATTTATTATTGCTATCTATTCACAAGAATCTGATTTTCCCCCCTAAATTTCTTTTTCTACTTTGATTTCACATCATACTTTTTGTCATTTATTTCTCACACCTGCAAAGCTCAATCTTCTAGCAGCTGAAGTCCACAAGTCTTAACGTGGACACAAGTTTGGAGACCCCTGTTCTGTTGACTAAGACAGAGAAAATGCAGGAAGGGGGGTGTATCCGGGGGTCTGGTCAAAAAAGACAGGGTTGAGGCTTTGTCCCTTTAAAAAAGGAAAGAGGGTTGCATAATGGCAGAGCATGGATTTCAGGATTGGGTCAATTGCCTTCTTAACTTTTTCTGACCATGCCCTGTGGACATCCTTCAGAAGGTGCAAACTAGCTCACCAGCCTTAAGTCACACCCATGCCACATGCAGCATTCCCTGCTAACAACTGCCCGGTCTGCCCCACGTGAAGTGGGGGGAACTACTGGCAGGGAGCAAAGCATGCAAATGCGAGTAGATAAACAGCTACCGCTTCAGTGGGGAGGAAACAGCGCTCTGCGATGTCATGCTGGCCACTGACCCTGCAATTGTCGTTGGGCTCAACGGCCTTGAAACGGAGTCGAGGGCCGCCCCACAATAGTCAGCACTGACTAGCAGAGCATAAATCTTCCCTTCTCCCGTGTAAAGGCCCCCTCGAGCATCCGAGCATCTCTAGGCCACGCACAACGTATCAAAACAAAACTAAGCAAAAACACGAGTTTGGAAAACAGCACCCAGCAACACAATGGGTTTTACTATCCACACCAATGCCAGGGAATGGTGTCCCCCTGGCAGCGCAGGGTCAGAAAATGCCCTGCAGAGAGCGCTGCGTTTTAAGAGCCTTCCTGAAAGAGCAGGTTCAGGGCCCCGGGGGCTTCAAGGCAGCACAGAGAACCCCACAACCTGACATTGTCTTTAATGACGACCGACTGAAATGGATGCTGAAGGGCCCAGCCTCTCGTTCCACTGTTCCCCAATCTCCCCTCGTAACAGTGGGGAGCACCCCTTTATTTTATTTATTTATTTTATTATTCATATTTCTATGAATAATAGAAGAGTACTCTCCGAGGACTCTGGGCGGCTTACACCAAAGACAGTATCCTAAATAGCATATTGCCCCCAACAATCTGGGTCCTCAGTTTACCCACCTCGGAAGGATGGAAGGCTGAGTCAACTTTGAGCCAGTGAGATTTGATCCACTGATCTGCTGAACTAGCAGTCAGCTGAAGTAGCTGCAGTACTGCACCCTAACCACTGCGCCACCTTGGCTCTCCTTTGGTCCGCCTTTTCTCTCCCACAGAACCTTGTGAGAAGTTGAGGGCCTTCCTTGAAATCAGGGGCCCCCTGAGAGCATCCAGATGCTGCCCATGGCTTCTCCACCAAGCCCCCACCCCCCCAGTGTCTCTGCCGTTACGACCAGGGGCTCTCCGGGCTGCCTTCATTCTAAACCCAAAATTGTGCTTTGCTTGGACAACCTTCAATCTTTTTAAGGGCATTTTGAACCACCCTTCCAAAGCTCCTTATGAAGAAGTCATAAAACCATGCTCATTCATTTATTCCCTCCCTCCTTCTCTCTCTCTCTCTCTCTCACACACACACACACACACACACACACACACACACACACACTCAATACCCTGCAAGGCTAGCAGTCATTTGGGCCAGGAGCCCACCAACACCCAAGGGGGATCCGAGGCAGCAGAGCTCACCTGTGTGAAGTGAAGTTGTCATAGGAGCCCACGGTGTAATGTCGGAAGAGCCTCTTGGTCCGGTCTTCTCTCGTCTCTGTGGGGAAAGAGCAGCCTTCTTCAGAACCCCCAGCCGGAGGGGAAGGCCACCCGCCACCATCCCACCACACGCCCATCCCAGGTGCCCCATGGAGCTTCGAGCCCAGTTCCCCTTCGCTCGGCTGCAGAGGAAGAGGCACCAAGAGCCTCATCTTGATCCATGGCTTCTCCGAGATGGGGCCAGGGGACATGGAAACGAGTGTGGGGGAGCCTCCAACGGTACCCCTGATGCCCCTGTTCCACTGGGCACGCATCAAGACCAACCAATCTCCATGTCATCTCTGCCCGGGGGACAAACTGTGTACGGACGATACCCCGGAACAGACTGGCCCACAAAGCAGCCCTCGCTTGCGTGTGGCCCTCGGGGTCAAGAGCTGTGGTGATGCTCGGACAGTGGGGAGGCTGCCCAGGAGCTAATGACACGGGGGGGGGGGGGGGCTCCCTGATGTGCGTGGGGCTGCGCTGCAGACCAAGCAGACGGTTCTGGTTCCAGGCTTAGAAACTGGGCACAGGTGCTGCTTCTCGAGGTTGAATTTGGGGCAGGCTGCACTGGGGCTCCCCAGAGGCCTGGAGGCTGGATCCAGAGGGATCCCCCCCAAGCAGTGCTCTCCGCAAGCTTCCTTTGAGCAGCCCCCCTGCTTTGATTTCCCATTTCACAGCCGCCCTGCCTGCGAGGGAGATCCAGGAAGAGACAGGCTGGGCTTCCAATCCTCTTATGTCTAGCAGGCCAGGGGCCTGGACTCTCCGGCCTGTCCAGGAGAGAAGGCTGAAGCCCTGATGCTCCCGGCCTGTCTTCTTTCAGAGAAGGGAGCTTCCCACTCAGGTCAACCTCTTCCAGGCAGGATGGTTTTGCAAGGAAACACGGGGCAGGGGGGGGGCATGTCTCTCTTTCCCCTGAACTGGCCCAGGCAGGTTAACAATGAACAATGAACTAAAGGGCCACCATCGGTGAGCTGTTGGACAGCATTACTTGGTCTGTTGTGCGGATGTTTGGGTGGTTTAGGGGTGGGGAATTGTGGTGGGTGGGAGTGTGTTTGGGGATTGTTATGTGTGTTGGACCAGGTCTTTGGGTGTTAAGTGAATTTCACTGTATGGGTATACTGTGTATATACGTACAATGACAATAAAGTTGTTGTTGTTATTACTACTATTATTATTATTATTAACACAGTATGCAACTTCTCGCCTCTTCTTCTCAATTGGGCTCACAACCCCCCGCCCTCACCTAAACCTTACTGCCTGCAGCTGGGAACTGTGGGCCATGCACCAAGACGCCTGCAGAGTTGTTGGATACATATGGGCGATAAATAGATAGAAGATAGACAGATAGTAGATAGATGGAAGAGAGATTAGAGAGAGAGAGAGAAGATAGAGAGATTAAATAGATAGAAGACAGATATAGATTGATGATAGACAGATGAATGGATGGATGTCTATGGGGACCCTGTCTTGATGGCCAGATGTGGCTGCTGCAATTGCTCCCCAGACCCAACCCTTCACCAGAAGCAACCAGCCAAGCGTGGAGCTGCAGTGCCTCCTCGTGGCCAGCAGAGGGGGCGCTTTCCCCACGCCAAAGCAACAGCCGAGCCCAGGCGAACACTGTGCTGGACCATCGCAGCAGAGGCAGCCAGGCAGATGTGGGGCTGCAGGATTGCGAGAGGCAACCAGCCCGTCCTGCTTGGAAGCACTGAGTCAGGCCACCCCTCCGTCCCCCCCCCCCGCAATCTTCCCCCCCCGGGGACCAGCTCTTCCTCCTCCAGGTCCCTCCGCAGGGTTTGCACATCAACCTCCCGCTGCAAAGACTCCACCACGCCAGGCAGCCGGCAGGTCATCCAAGAGGAACCTTCTGGCTGTGAGACGATTCCCTTCTTTACCAGGCACCCTGATAAAAATGGACCAGCTGGGCAGAGATCCTGCCACCTTTTTGGACACGCCGATGGATCCCTCGGCCCCATCCTTGGACACCGCTCACTGGCTCTGGGTCCCCTTAGCCTCTCCTGCAAGGAAGCCCTCTGGCCCTGAAACTCCACAGGCATTGCATCAATGGGGGGGGGGATTCAGACCCACAAGAATTCTGAGAAGGTGAAGGGTCTCCTGCAGGGGTTTGGACTATACAACCTCCAAGGTCCCTTCCAACTTCCTCATTCTATGTCCTTAGCTGGGAAGCTGCAAGAAGGAAGGCCTCTGGATCATGACACCAGCAAGCCCACTGCAATACTGGTACAGCTGCTCAGCACGAGGTCGTGAATAGCACTAGCACTTAAGACTTCTATGCTGCTTCACGGTGCTTTCCAGCCCTCTCCAGCGGTTTCCAGAGTCAGCGTAATTTCCTCCAACAATCTGAGTCCTCATTTTGCCGACTTCGGAAGGATTGAAGGCTGAGTCAACTTTGAGCCGGTCAGGATCGAACTCCTGGCAGTGGGCAGAGTCAGCCTGCAATGCTGCGTGCTAACCACTGTGCTTGAATGATGAGTCCTGCCAGGCTGCCGCAGACTGGCTAGCTGGCTCCCTGCCTAAACCACCGGCAGGACGGAGGGCCAAGGCTGGAGGTCCAAGAGCCTGCAGGAGAACTGTCCACGAGGAGGAGGCCATCTTCTTGGTCCTATCTGGGTGGGGAGCCTGAGGCGGCTCCTTCGGTTTCCCAATACAGACGTTGCATGGCATTGATGGCAGCAGTTGCTGGCAGGGATGACGAAATACCAGCTGGGTTAACAAATCTTATAGAGGCGGAGAAAGGCCCCCGTTCTCCTCATTGTGGAGTCCTTGATGCTCTCCGAGCTCGGCTGGTTGCTGGCAGATTATCTGACGCGGGAACGTCAGCCGAGCGAGGGAGGGAGGGAGGGAGGGAGGGAGGGAGGGAGGGTGGCGCTTGCTCCCTTCTTGCCTTGGCAGATAATGAAGCCTCTGCAAGCGAACAGCCGAGCTCGGAGAGAGCGCCAAAGGCTCCGCTGTTCAACCCCGAGCGACAGGGCTGCGCGCCTATTGTGCTTGCCTTACAAAACGCTCAACCCACACGAATCCGCCTGCAGCGCACGGATCTGTAAGCTTCGAGGAGCCTTTGGGGCTGAAAGGAAGGACGGACCATCGCCACTTGCACACGCGGAGAGGAATCAAAGGAGGAACACGAAGAGGCTGCCTCAAAGGGAAACCGGCCCCATGTCCACATGGCCTCACGCAATGAACCAGCTGCTTAAAAACACCCACCTGTGTGGCTGAGGGCTGCCTTAGGCGACCCGGGGGGAAGGGTCTCAGCCAGCTGCCGGCAGAATAGGGGAAAGGGGAGAAATTTGGGAGGTAAGGAGGGGGAGAGGCAGGTCCAGCAGACCAAGGGATGGGGAAGAGCCTTCTCTGCTTGGCGCACTCAGCACCGCTGACAGTGAATGTGCACAGAACCGGGCCAGACCAGCCTGGGCTGAGACCTTGTGTGAGGCAAGGGTGGACCATGGGTCCTGCCCCCATTGCTGATGCTTCGTGGAAAAAGGAGAAACGGAAGTCTGAAGTATCACGAGAACGGCTCCCACTTATCTACCTGTCTACTCCCCAGAGAGTCTCACGGCAGGTTACAGGAAAGGAAAGAATGGGGACACCAGAACAGAAAGCCACAGTTTCCCTCCTGTGAAAGTCTGGTAGAACTTTCTAGAACTTGGCTGTTCTGGAGCCAGTTTGGTCTGGTGCAGGCATGTCCAACCCACAGCCCCCCCACAGTCCTGGACAGGTAGCAATGCACAAGATCGTAAACAGAAAATATCAGAATAACAAACTTGGAAGGGACCTTGGAGGTCTTCTAGTCCACCCCCTGCTGAAGCAGGAGATCCTATAGCATTTCTGACAAGTAGCTGTCCAATCTCTTTTTAAAGACCTCCAGTGACGGAGCATCCATAACTTCTGGAAGGAAGCCGTCCCACTGATTGATTGTCCTCACTATCAGGAAATCCCTCCTTAATTCCAGGTTGTTTCTCTCTTTGATTAGTTTCCATCCATTGTTTCTTCTCCTGCCTTCAGGGGCTTTGGAGAACAGCTCAACCCCCTCCTCTATGCGAGAACCCTGCTATCATTTTCACATTATTATGAGATTGATGTACATTAACTATCTCGTATAGGTGGGCCAAGACGATTCCGCTTCGCTCAACATGGCCGAGGAGGCCAACGGATGGACCCCCAGGCTCTAGTGGTTAAGGCTCCAGGCTAGAAACCAGGAGCCGGAGAGTTGTAGTCCTGCCTTAGGCATCAAAGCCAGCTGGGTGACTTCGGGCCAGTCGCCCTCTTTCAGCCCAGTCCACCTCACAAGGTTGTTGTGGTGAGGAAAATAGGAGGAGGAAGGAGCATTAGATATGTTTGCTGCTTTTTGTTTATAAGAAATACTAAACGCAGGATACCAGTTCATAAAATTATCTTTGGTGCTACTGAACGGAGCAGGGTTATCACCTGCTCTGAGCCACAGCTGGCGATGTCAGCGCTCAGACTTCAAAACTGTAGTGGATACGAACAGTACATAATCTAACATTTCTTTAATTTGAGTTGATCTGATTATGTGCCTTTAAGTTATTGTTGACTCTTAGTGACCTCCTAGCTAGGTTTTCTCCATAACCACTCCTCATCATCCTTGTAGCTGAGTCCATCCATCCATCTTGCTGCTGGTCTTCCCTTTCCTTCCACCCTTCCCAACATCTGACCTTCTGCCAGAGAGCTGATGGTCTTTGCTGAATGTGTTTGGACATCTGAGCCTCATCATTGGGCGCCTTGAGTGAGAACTCTGGGTTGGTCCAGTGTTCAATGATCCACTCCTTGATTTTCTTGGCTGTCCACGGTCTACTCGGGAGTCTTCTCCAACAACCACGTTCAGAAGCATCAATGCTTTTCCTCTCCTGCGTCTTCAGAACCCCAATTTTGCTTCCGTAGAGTGTCACAGGGAATATCATGGCTTGCACAAGGTATGAGCGTATCACGGCCTCGGGAGATCTTTCCCCAAGGTCTTCTGGTCTCCTCTAACAAGCGCTG